TCCTACAGTGTGACATATATACATCAAACAAAAAACAAAAAGGGCCTATATAAACATGGTATACATTAAACAAAACAAAGGGCCTAGATAACCGGGGTATACAGTTTAAAATGTTAATAATATAATTTAAGTGTTCAAAGTACAGTTTCAGTGCAGTAGCAGCGGAGATGGGCAGAAAAGTGAGTTAGGGGGTTAGAGTCCAGGACCATTTGGGGCAGGGGAGAAAGGTCGGAGGCAGGGTGGAGAGTTCAGGGGAGAGATGTCAGAGGGCGGAAGAGATGGAGGGAGGGGAGAGACACCAGTAGCTCTGTGGTTAGGGTTAGGGTAAGCGAGTCAAAAGTATGTTTTATTTTTACATAGAACTTAGCCCAAAGCCCAAATTCGAACATACTGGGACTGGGTCTAATAATGGCAACGTCTTCTTTGAGCCTAAACTGTGTACAGCAGGGAACTGGTGGCAGTGGGGCCAACAAAGTGACCAATTGATAAATGGCAGAAGAATTAATTGGGTGTACGATTACAACCACTTTACATCGGGGTGGCTACCATGAGCTATCCCTGGATGTGGCACTTCCATTCTCATTATTCTACAGTAAATATGAGAGGGACATACATTAGACAAGTACTCCAAAGTACTCCGGTGTGAACGCGCCTAAAGCATGTCTCAAATACATCACTTGACTCATTTTTGCTGGACTAACAAAAGGCTGCAGGTCATTTAATTACAGCCATAAATCTAACATGTGACTTATAACAGATGGTCCATGTTATCTGGACCTCTCAGCTCGGCCTGTCCTACCAACGAGGCATTCTCCCACACAATGACTAATGCAGACTGCTGATTTAAAAAAAAGGCTGAAATGCAGAGCACAGCAAAAGGTAAATAGATGCTTATGGTGACACAGAGAGAGGGAGAGAGAGAGAGAAACAGAGAGAGACAGACAGAGACTAAGGATGGTAGACAAGTGGAATGACTTATTCAAGGGGGAAGTGGGCAGGGAGAAACATGAAATTAGCACAAATAGATTATCTGTCGACTACAGGCAGGCCTAAGAGCAAGCCAAGCGCTGTGGAGGGAGAGGGAGGAGGGAAAAAAAGCAGATTGACTTCTTGTTTGTTCCTCCCTTAGGGGAGATCCGATAGAGCCATCACTCACCAAATTGCTGATCAGTAGTTGGAACAGCTGTAGCCAAAGCACACATGCACTGAACTACATGCCAATTAGAATATCAATATTATGACCCATGCACTTTTGGGAAGAAGAGCTGTATAATGTTTTATATTTGTGCTCGCCTCTGATGAAAACTTTGATTTATCATTATTTTTTGAAGAATTGGACCAGTCTACATGCTACAACCGACTCATATCACTTATTTTCTTTCAGATCACAAGATAAGATATATCTGCCAGATGAGAGTGGCTTCAATCTTCTTAGCCAACCCTATGCAAGTAAATAAATTAACACTAACTCAAACCCTGTGAGTAATGATAATACAGTCCCAATGATAGAATAGTGTGCTGCATTCTGCATAACACGACACACTATTGCAAATGTGCAGTGATCTTACTGCACAAAATGCAATTGTTTCCAAAAAACATATTTTAAATGAGTGGGAATGATGACTAAAGTGTGGAGGCATGGTGACATATATAAATTCTGTGGGCGATTGCATTGGGCATGGAAACATGATTACTATGGATGATTAAATACCGTTTTTAGTATATAACTATAACATATTACATTTTGAAGATATTTCCCAAAAACAAAACAGTGTTTTAAAAGTCCAAATGTTGTCTTCAATTATATTTCCAAATGGCTTCACATATAAGGCGAGCACTTAGATGTAGAAAACCAGAGAGACTAGATTTAAAGGCCGACTCCTACTTTGCTTTACATTCAAAGGATTTTCCGAGAGTTTTGATTTGCAAAAGTTATAGTGCAAGTGTACTCAACCATAACAGAACACGGGACAATTAAAACCAGACCGGGAGTTTTCAAGGCAGTATCCTGAGATGTTAGGGTACATGGGCAGTGTAGGGATTCACAGCCACAGAGGCCGATGGGGAATCTAGACCAGATAAAAAGTCGGTGCATCTAATGAACAATTCGCTTCAAGAGAATTTTCTGTCTAACCTCAAGTCAAAGTGAAGTGACCTTCTGTGTTAATGCCCCGTGGTACATACTGTATTTGCTTTAGAAATTGAATCACAACTACCAAAGGCGCAAGGGTAAATTGTTAAAACAAACTTTGCTTCCATCTATTTTTTTCCTGTACTCAAACAGGGTAGAAACTAGCTTTGAATTTAGATCAAGATAGGCGGCAAACATTATTTCTTGGTCACTGACAGCAGGAGATAAGTTTGGAACTAATAGTCAATTACCAGATTTTTTTTTTTTTAAACTTCGTCGAATGGAGAGGATTGTTTTTTTAGATTTTGTTTACTTCTTGCAATGTGTATTCTTTGGTTTATTTGGAATTTAGATGGTGTTTATCCCTCAAGTGGCGGTACAGGAATGGAATGGGGCTAGGTCTTTGTATATCATTCAAAACAGGGACCCAGAGCCACTTCAGAGACAGGAGAATTAAAGTGAAACAGGGAGATGGGACAGGCCGAAAGAGAGAAACTGGGAACCAGAAAGAGATCTTTTGTAGCCTGAATCTTCTCCAGCTTTAATTACAATTTATTGATCACAGGCGGGACGGAAGAAGACGAGGGGGAGATAGAAGGAAGAGGGGGAGACGGTTGACTAAATTGCAGGCTGCAGTTACTGTAAAGCATTTAAAATAGAGGAGCAGAGCAATTATGCCACAGTCATACAGTGTAATTAGAAATTCCTTCCAACCCTCCACACTTTCTATCTCCACACACCCATTTAGCCCTGCTTATACAATAAAACAGTAAGGGTGTCAAATTCATTTAAATCACCAAGCAGAATGCATTGTTCACATCCATCTCACAGCTCCACGCATGGTTTGATTTGAAATTCTTAACATCGATTTTTTCTTCTGAGTGCCTTTGGTCTGGTCCTCCTTTGTAATCAACCATAATAGAATGGCCATGCATGACACATTGGTTTTCCCTGTAACTACTTGGGCTACATGTTACTAATGCAAAGAGGTGTACTTCTGCAAAGTTAAGCTAGAAAGCTCACTTCCTTTCCTATCTTCTTCTCTTGTTGGTTGACCTACTTTAGCAAAGAGCTTAGATGCTTTTCTTTGTTTCTCACACTGTTGTGGCCAGGGCAGAAAATCTGCAAGCTCTCCTACTGTATTTCCCCCCACACCCCCTCTCCCTCCTGATCCAGAGGGATGGCAGCCGAGTCCAGCATAGTGAAATATGCCAGATCCAAGCTCACTGCCCCTGCAAAATCGCTCCCGCCGAGTCTCACAGAACCGAATTCCGGGGGTTAAGGAGCTTATGTCTGGTACACGACGCATGGAGAAAGGGACTGAGCAGTGATTCGCCATGGGAGAGGGAATAGGAGAGTGAAGACTCTGTGTAGTGTGCATCTCATTATGTCTGAACTATGTGTTACCTTTGGTAAACAGTGGAAAACATTTCTCAGGCGAGCGTCACTCTGGGAGCAGCAGGCTGGTAAACGACAGCGGCCCAATAGTGGTGCGCAGCCATTGCTCAAATCTACAGCCCCACAGGGATGCATGAGTTTGGTCATGATTAGTCAGATAGAATAAATAATCTACGCTTATGACAGCACGCTTCATTTCAGAGTGTTGAATGGATGCCACGTGCAACACTTTTGTGTTAATAAATTCCCTCCAGTTATTTTTACTGAATGACCTTCTCAATCAGGAGAAAAGTAAAAAATTCAATTTCTGAGCAAGGCATTCATTATCATAGCCGGCTGTGCTCAAGGGTACCTTCCATTTACAATACGTTAGAGCCATGTGTCGAATGACTGTAATTTCATGGCATTATAAGGAAATCAACAAATTAGAGATTCATTAAATAGCTTGAAGGCATTTGACAATATTATTGTAAATAATGTCACAGCAGCAAAGATAATAGAACAGTACGACTATAGCCAGCGTAGCATGAGAATGACAACAATTGAGATCTTTAAATTAGCGCCTGATGCTAATCCTTGCCCTCAGCTGAGAACGTTTTGATTTATTTTTCACACAACCACATTGGTTAGAGCAACTCATGTTTGCTGTGCCCTGAGCACTACTGATATTTCTGCAGTCATCTTCCCAACTTCCAATTGTTGTGACGTTCTGCCAGTCTGCACTTCTGTACTGCCATCCTCTCATGTGTGAAAAGCAAGACAAGGGTAATTAAATCTTCATTCCTTCACCCCCAACACCATATTCACATCTGTTGAATTGGAAAACCACACAGTGTAAAACATATCTACTTAAGTCTATGCCCCAGTGACTCTTGTTGTAGCGTCAAGGAGCATGGGAAGCATTTGTCGTCCTTTCCTCTAACAGTATAATGGCGTCTTGTTTTCATGTTATATGACCCTCTGTGAATTCCGTAAATCAAGCACTAATTACAACGCGCAGTGACCTGACGGCTGAAATGTCTTCCACGGGCTAATAGACAGCAGAGTGAATTTTGTGTCCAAAATAGAGTGCTTCAGCAAGCCGTAAGCATCTCAGTTAATTAAGACATGCTGACAACTGGTGAACTCCGCACATCATTATGGATCCGCTGCCTAATTGGAAAGTATGGTAACGGTAAACGCATTTTTCTTCACTATTGAGTAGCTGTACTGTCGCTGCAATAAACCACAGGGGAAACAGAGAGGTAATCCAAAACGTGTTCCTTTAGGGAATTAGTCCCCCCATTGGTGGAGTAGCACCCCAGGGGTTCCTAGTTGGACCCCTGATTTAGTTTAATTGGCATAAATTCCCTTACAAATGTGGAATTGATCAAATAACTTTTGGGGTCCTTAGCTGTCTGAAACCTTGGAGCCAAATTGCTTGTTTTTGCCTGCTTTGCTCTTGGCATGATCAGAAGAACTCAAGTCTTACCTGCCATGGACTTTGATGTCAGAAATGGCGTAGAAGTATCTGGTCAGTTTGTCCTCGTCCACCATGGTCGCTCCTGTGGCAGGTCGCAGCAGACGGATTCTCAGGTCTGTGATGGTGAAGAAGTCCCGCAGATTCTTGGTGGTGTCCAGTTGGCCATAAAGCGAAGCCATGTTGTGGAGTCGGGGCCCAGCAAACAGCGCAAAGCGGTCCTTGATCTCAAAGCGCACCGTTTTGTCATACTTCCACACGTACCCTCGTGAGTAGTCCTCTGTGCAGATGATGTCCAGCAGTGTGTGCTGAGTCAGGTCCTGCACCGTCTTGGGCTCCATGGTGAAGGCGTCCAGACAGTCAGTGGCATAGAACTGGTACGGCTGCCAGGTTCTTCCATAATCCAGAGACTTTTCTAGGACCATCTGCTCGGGCCGGCCTGACTCAAAGGTCAGGACGATGTCATCAGTCAGCTCGATGGTCTTGTTCCATGATAGCGTGATGTTTACCAGAAGGGCCTTTGGGTACTTCTGCCAAGATGTGGACTGCCAGAAAGTAGTGGGATTACGGCCCTCGATGTCAAACATGAGCTTTGGAGGGTGGGCCAGTTCCTCTGTGTTGGCGTCACATTCATTGTTACACATGTAGGGGTTCTCCTACAGTGAGAGCAAAACAGAGAAGGAAGAAGACATGTTGTTAGTCTTTGCAAAAAACAAGCAAAAGGGTCATTTTCAGTCAGATTTTTGATGTCACAATGTAGGCATCATGTGCATATACATGCTCTGCTGGGCATAGTGTGCAGTCACATATAAATAATCAAAAGCCACATAGCTATGTTGTACATCAATCTTTGAAGAACCTGCCAACACCAATGTTTAACTCAGTTCATTGTCACTGTCATGAGAGTGCTTCCTCTCTGTTGCATTGTTACATCCTGACACTACAAATGTCACACCCTTCCCAGTCCTGAAATTAAGATGTTGGTGCAGCATTCTAATGTTGAAAAAAAAAAAGTGTGACCACAAATTAAATAGTAAACTCATCACATAACATGAATAGCCGAGTGATCTCATTGGCTCTTCAAGTATCTGTTCAGACTGTATCTTTTTTCTTGTGTCTTATTGACTTTTCCCCACTTGATTCAGTAACACTGAGCACATTGACGCCTCCAAACCGTTGACCTAAACCTTTTAGACCATTTAATCGTTTTCATCATAACTTCTTTAATTAAAGAGTTCTATTTTAATGCCTTGTTTCCTAATATAAATTGTGTTTTTTAGAGTTTTACTGCAAGCTTTTTTTAGATTCTTCACGCTGTTTGCTTGAAAGAGATATTTCCAAAAACATTTGTCCGATTTACCACAAATCATTACAAGCCGATGTTCTCTCCTTGCTCCCTGGGGGCTCCATCTAGTTGTCAGGGGGAGGAGGCACTCCTCCACGAGGACCTTTCAAGTGCTACAAGCGCCAATTTATCAGGACAAGATAATCCACTACTTGATTAGGTGGGAGATGTCACCCTGTGTGTGCCTGTGTGAGTGTGGCGATGTAGTGAGGACACAGGGAGAGGATCAGGCCTCTGATGTAAGACAGTCTAATGAAGCGTTGAGGCAGAGATCGAGTAAGTTAGAGGGAGAAACAGCTCCATTCGGCTAATAAGCTTCGCAAGTTTTTTCTCATCCTCCAAGGCAAGGTGACAATGAAACAGGGCTCTGTCAGGCCCTGTGACTGTCAGAGGGGCCCATTAATATCCTGTCTGGACCGTCCCCTACAGGCTTCTTCCGGCTCTGGACAGCGGTGGCAGCGAGGACACGGCGGAAGAAAGCAGAGTGGCAGTGGAAAATTCCATTTTGGTTTTAGTGTACCATCTCATGGTGGGAGGTTAGGTGTGCCATTAACTGCAGCATCTGGTGCGCCATGTATCTACAGACAGATGTGTAATAACTCATATGAGACAGTTATGCCTGCTTAGGGGGTGAGCACATCTCTAAAAAACACACTTGGCATGCAGGAGGGCTCACTGTGTGTCTGTGGCTTGTTGGAAATGTGCATTTATCGAGGGAGACCTAAAACTGTTATTCAACAACGGCGGAGCACTCTGCTCAGAGCACAGGTGTAGACTTGGGGGGAGAGAGGAAGTTATGTTGCTTTTAATTCCCCCATTAATATTGTTAAGTATACTGTATTTCTACCACACCCACTGACTTACTCCTACTCACATGCACTTAAGCACTTCCCCTTTTTCTGCAGGTAATCCTATTAAACGAGACAATTATATTTCAATCAATGCAATTAATGCTGCTTGAGCGCTTATTTACTGACCCTTTTTCGTGCAGATTTTTCTGCTGTATTTGTTTAATTCTTATAACACTCCTGGAAAGTAAGAATACCTTAATGTCGAATTATACTTCACTACAAGTAGAAGTAATTCATCTTTCACTAAAATTAACTTAATATCTCCTTAAAGTATCACACTTTTAACCATGCTGCATTAATGTACAGGTGGACTCAAAGTATCAAAAGTAAAAAATACTAGCAGGATGATGCCGGTAAATAATATTGTTGTATAATATATTATTTGACTATTACAGATGTCAAAATACGTAAAGATTTGTATTGCTGTTGCAAATTCAGGTTGGGCTAATTTTAGGTAATTTATATACTGTTTGGGAAATGTATAAAGATCATATTTTAAAATTACATTTCAGTACAGTATATTAGGAAAATATACTTAGATACTTTCCATCACAGCTTATAGGAGATGCACCTACGCCTCCATCAACCCATAATACTCAGAAACCTCTGAGCTGTAGCCTTGAAAATTAAAGGCAAGAAAACACCACATGCTGTATGTCTTTATGTGAGCAGGTTTATCCGGTCGGAGGTTAAGCTTTTAGTACCGTTATGTCTGAATCTGGCAGATACAGTGATCAGCTATTACTGTAACACCCACACACACACACAAACTGCCAGCACATCTCTGTAATCAGACAGAGATGTATCCCTATCGATCGCTGTGGCCGAGCAGCTGAAAAAGTGCTGCGTGTTGCACCTGGCAACCTCGGCCATTCGTCCAACTCTGCCCCGAACACACAGGTTACAAAACGTTCATTACTGTCTCCTCTGCTTCTTGCCTAACGACACAATCCTGCCTTTATGAAGATCAATAACCTCGCCGGTCAGAAGAGAAAGGAGATGAAACGCTGAGTACGGCCTCATGAAAAATCAATGGCAGATTTCTGTATTTTACTACAGGGCGCCGCTGAGGTCTCTGTCAGCCGATTAATGGTTTGGCACACATTAAAGTAATTGACAGCACCCGGCATGGCAACGCAGCATTTCTGTAATTACAAAAGATGTTTCTATTAATCCCAGTGTGATGATAAGTGGCCAGGATGGGGGACAGCCATCGCGGATTACAAAGCCAGCACTGAGGTTGCTGGAGCAGAGAGGTCACGCTAAATTGGTGCTAATAGAGATGTCCACGACCCACCCAAAACACAGAGGCTTAATCCGATTATTAGCATTGTGATGCAGTGAGATAGAGTGCTAGAGTGTGTGTGTGTGTGTGCAGGTGGGTACTCATGTAAAACCAACATGAACGTGGTTGTTGTCGGATTTTACAAATCTTCGGGAGCTGCTCTAAATTCCTTGGGTGTTGTCCCCATTATTGTCGAACTGTTCAGCCTAATTTTAACCAGCCCGGCGAGAGAAATAAAAATCGACAATGCAGCGACGTTGAGGATAATAAATTAGACTAATTCCATTCAGCTGCACGCCACAGACAAGCACTATTTGTAGCGTTGAGGTCACAGGGAAGTGGTTTCCTCTTGCTTCATTCCTGAACAAGGCTATTAGACATGTTACAGAATAATTTGCCTTCATATTACTTGTGCAAAGCAATTTAAAAACACAACAACTTTGTAAATCAAGGGGCTGTTTCCAGCTGCGTATTTCAGCTTTTTTATATTTTATTTTGTCTCTGCAACTGCTACAATTAATGAACAATTATAAAACATGTTCCACTGCTGTATCTTCTTGACTTATCCTTTAATTAAATAGGTAAAGGCACTTGAACTCTATCTACAATTATTCTTACTTTTATGCAAATTCTCACATTTTCTTATGACTAATTACTTGACTACAAAATGTGAATAACTACATTCTTGGCATAGATAACATGCTGCATTTTGCGTGTTTAGGGATGGTTGAACCCAAGAATAAACCTTAATGTATAAAGTTGACAATCTAAGGGGGTGGGGTGTTATTTTCCATCAGTTATCGTATTGGCAACAACAATCCGAAACAGAGGTCGAAGTTGTGATCCATGAAAAGTAGATAACGGTGACCATATCAAAAGAAGTGAAGACCGAGTTTTTGACTGTTTCTAGGTTTAAAATAAGATATGCCCACGGTGGCTGACAGTCTTGGCCCGGAAAAACCATAAGCGCTGATGGAAGACGGGACAAGGGGGAATATAAATGTGCTAACTGCCGACAAGCCTTCGAGATAGATGGGCTCTCACCAATCAAACAAAACTCGTTTGTGTGACAGATGTCTTGGACTTGTAACCCAGATAGCAAAGCTCTATCTGCCTTTCCACTCCTTTTTTCTTCTTTCTCTCCATTTCTCGCACTTGTACATTACATTTTAAAAGTGATAAGTGTGCCTAAGATCTAATACTTTTAAATTGTCTTCTGGTGTCGCCAAATATTACCAGACTGAGCTCAGAAATGTATTTTATGTAGAAATTCCGCAATAATCCTTCTTTGTCAATGAACTCAGTATGGATGCTGCAGCACAACACATTTAGGAACGGCCCTCTCTGCTGCTAATATTGTTCCTTCTGATTCAAGATAGCTCCAGAAATAAAATATGATGTTTTGTTTATTCATATGCAATTTGGACCCACACAATGCAGGCAAACAACGGATCCATCCAACCGACAACACCCACATGAAATCCTGCTTTTGCTGTTATTGTAGCATTGGAGAGAGACAAAGACAGATGGAGAGTGATTGGGGGAGTTTATCTCTAAACACATATCAATACCAGAGCCCAGGAACTCCTAATGAGAACAACAAATTGCTTCCTCGCCGCATGCTCCAGCCTTTGCTTGTTGGGGAAGGAACATGCTCTGCGCGACAGTTTTATTGGAAATAAATTCAAATCATTTCCAAATCACACTCCCACTCTTATCCTTTGTATCTTAAAACGGCCGACCTAACAATATTGAGTTTTATGTTCTGCCATAGAGGTTAAACATTCAGATTTAAGGTCATAGGCTGCATTTGGATCTCCATTAACCATTCAAATGTGTTAATTATTAAAACCATTAAACATTTGAACAAACCTCCGATGTTGAACAAAATAAAAACCTATATAAAAATGTCCCTCAATTGGCAACTTTGCTTTTTTCAGAAAACGAAGTGACATCACAGAGACAGCGTCCATTTTTCTATGAGTGGATAAATCCCAGCATGCATTGTACAAGATGCACACTCGACCCTGGAAAGGTCAGCTAACTTCTTGAAAGGCTATCAATAATATACCATCGTCAAAATTGATAAGTATAACTTCATCAATATTTCTTCTTCTTACAGGACAGTAAGACGAAGAAGAAGAAGATATACTTTATTAATCCTCAACAGGGAAA